GCATAGCATCCCCTAAGTTTATGCCGTGCTCAACTGATACAACTGTACTCAGAAGTCCTGCTTGATGAATGTGAACCACTGTCTTCCCTGTTTTTTGGCTGATGAAAACTGAAGCTCAGAGAGGCTGAGTAACCTTCTCAAGGTCACAGGCTCATAAATGGAGGAACTGGGACTGGAACCCAATTCTGCCTGACTGACCTTTGGTTCTACTTCTAACCACCATGCAATGTTATATGATATGAAATGTATCCCCTCGTGGAAGAGAATATTGAGATCATGCAACTTCCTCCTCCCTACCATTCTTTGATCACAGATGGTGTTTATGTCATCTTGTCCCTGCGTACTCCAGGCCTCAGGGTCCTTCAGCATCCTCTCACAATCCTGGAAGAGTCAGGGTCTCACCAAATATCTCCAAGCCGAAGCTTAGCAACACATAATTTATACATAAAGGGAAGCATGTTCCCACTGTAACATGGGTGTATACCCACGTCTCTCAAGGGACTAGTGAGGCACTGAAGGCCTGCACAGATGCCTGCCTCGCAGAATTTGAGCAAGTCTGGGGAAGGCTGGCTGATTTAATTAGCAAATGATAGACCGAACATGTGTGAGAGGAAGGTACTTTGTCTAGCTACTGAAGGTGTTTTGGTGCCTTGTATCCATGTACTTGTGCCGTTATTATGGCACAAATGTCACAAAAAGTAAAAATCGGAAGAGAAAGAGAAACACAGTGGACTTAAACTAAAATCACATCAGTTGTGGTGTCCAGTGGAACACAAGTTCTTTAGAGGCCATCTAATTTCCATCTCTCTCCTGACCGGGTCTGTGGCTGGAGCATACTATACACGGGACAACCTAAACCTCTCCCCACATATCACAGAGATCCAGGATGAACCCGAGAGGCCTTGCCTGGGGGCTTGTGATAGTGGCTCAGAGTGAAAGCTTGGAAGTGTCAGCTGTCATCTCCGGCCCTCATTGCCACCCTGGCTACTAGGACTGGAGGAACGGACATCAATTACTCTTCCTGAGAAATCACTTGTCCACTGGTCACCTGTCCCTTTCTGCTCTCCGACCGCTCTGCCTGCAGCTTCTCTGGGGAAAAGCATTTTCAAAATAGTGCTGGGCCAGTGTCGTGCCACTGAAGGATCTGATCTCAGTGCTAACGTGACTTGCCACTGACTTCATAAAAACATCCGTCAGACAGCCTCAATATGGAAATAATGTGCAGTGAGTTATCCTTATGCCAGGTCGTTCATAATGGAAAATCAGCCCGAGATGGCTCCGTATTTCTTCCCGCTCCCTAAAGTGCAATAAATTGAAACTTGCAAACTCGGCATGAAGATGGCCCACCCGGTGGAGGCCTCAGGCTGGGAAATTTCTGGTCTTGCCAATCTAGATCCTATTAAAATCTGCACCTGCTTGACTTGTAGGCCTGTGGGGGCAGTGACCTCCCTCCACCCATCCCAGCCAAGCAAAAGAGCCTAATATTCTTCCTTAAGCTTGCAGAGGTACAACTCATCCTGGCTCTGGGACTGGGCCCGTTCTTTTGGCCCCTGTTTCATTTTCTTCCTCTCTAAAATGGGGATCAAAATTGCCACTTCACAGGCTGTCCTGGGGTGAAAGAGGCTCACAACGGCATTGCTGACAACTACTGTCATCATTTTACCATGTTTTCTCAATGCCAGGTGCTGTGATAAGCACTTTGCTTGTTTTCATTCATTTTTCCTACAGTGATCCTATGATGGAATCATCCCCATTTTACAGAGCAGGAAACTGAGGCATAGCAAGGTTAAGTGACTTGCTGGAAAAGGCAGATTCCATCAGGTCTGGCTCCAGCGCCCAAGCTCTGAGTCACACACAGGATGAAATTGGCACTTTAGTATTGTTCATGTTGGTCTTTTTCCTCTCTCCTTTGGAATGAATTGTTCATCTCCAGAAGGCTCCAGGAATGATGTACGTTTCCTCAGATAATGCCATGCTACCACATTTATTGAAACTCTTGAGTTCTGTCATTCCGTAGACCCCTGCCTGGTCCGTGCTGACAGACACTGCCTGAACCGCTTCTGTTCTGGTGACCAAACCCCTGAGCTCTGCAACAGAGCTCTCCCTTTATGTTAATCCACTCTACTCATGGCCCAGGCTTCCCAGTGGGTGGCTTTCCATTGGGCTCAGGGGTGAGAGCTTGGCCTCCGGAGTTGGACCAAGCAGGCTATCCACTGACCAGCTATGTGACGGTGGATCCGTTGCTTTTCTTCTGGGCATCCCTGTTTTGTTTATCAAAGGGTCCTGACGCTGGTGCCTTTCTCCTATGCTTCTATGAAGCAAGACAGAGAAAGCACAGTGCCTAAAGGTGGTCCCCGAGCAACAATAGCAGCTGGGGCTGTTAATGCCAAAGCCACGGGGCCAAGATAATCCTATCTTCAGCTCAATGGGAGCTCAGAAGACCAGCAGCTGACTCCGTTGACTGCACTCTCTGCATTCATCTCTGCCTGGGGATAAGTCGTCCCTCTCCCTGCCTTTGCTAAGGAGAAAAGGGAAATAAAGGAGCATTTCTGGATCCTGCACCTTAGGCCATCCGTAAAGTGGGGATAAACATAGAGTATCCTTTCCCTGGTGGCTCTGAGGCCCATGGGACCATGCTAATGAAACCTCGGGTAAAGGAGGAGCTCAGTAGAACTGTATCGTCCTGCTCCGCTCTGCCTTGTTACCTTACTTACAACGGCTTTCTCTTGCTTCCTGGCTCCAGGCCGAGTTCCTCAGCTCGGCAGCAGGGCCCTGCATGAGGCCTTCCATCTCCACCGTTAGTTACGTGACATCATCTCCCTTGATGGCCCATCTGCTCCTGCCTGTCCAGACTTGTTGTTCTTTGCATGCCCCACTGTCCCAATCCTTTCATTTCTGTTTACTTCCACCCTTTGTACCCTGATTGGAGTATCTCCACCACCTCCTTCCTGGAGGATCGGAGCAGTGCCCCCACTGGTCACCCTATTTCTAATCCTGCCCCACTAAAGCTCACTTCCCCACAACAACCAGGACATCATGCCACTCACTATCTTAGAAACCATTCATGGCTTCCAGACAGACTGAAATACGATCTAAGCCTTACAGCCCAGCTCACAAGCCTCACTAAAGTGACCCCTGTGACCTCTTCAACCTCTCCTCTTCCCCTCCTCTCTCTGTACAGCTGTCTGGCCACACGAGGGGTGTCTCTGCTCCTCAGCTCTGTTCTCAAGTTGTCCATCACTGACCTCTTTCCCGCCCCTGCCTCAGGGCCTTTGCTCTTGCTACTGCCTCTGCCCAGCACACTCTTTCTCCTAAATCTGCACGTGGCATCTCCTGTGCATCTTTTAGGTCCTACATTAAATGCTTCTCCTTAGTCAGGCCTCTGACTTCCACTCAAATGCGGGGCCAGTTTTGCCTTGCTTGCCAGTAGGGGAGCCCTTCCACCCGCCTTTCAGCTATGCCACAGGTACTAGAGTCGCCTGCTGGGACATAAGTGTGTGCCTGACATCTCACCGCCTCTGGTGATTGTGCTCTAACAATGCCAATGCCCTTCCAGGCTTCACATCATTTTTCCCAGTGTGTCTCTATCCCTCCCAGCTGCCGAGGGAACTGGGCCACCAAGTCCTGTATCACTGACCCCTGTGCCGAGCTCAACTCTAGGAATACATTGTTCTCAGAGACTTGAAAAGGGGGTCTTACGGGTCATGGGCTGTCCCTCTCTGAGCCCTAAGTATTTTCCTTAGGTGATTTAGAAAAATTTTTTTTCTGTTTGGAAATCAAGGAGAAGTTGCTAATCACAGAACTCAGGTTTGTGCAGGGACATGGCTTTCTCTAATGCCACACGTCTGTCTTCTGGGGTTACTATACGTACCCGATTCCACCTATCTTGATGGCCTCACCTTGCTATGACAGAAGGCCTACTGTGTGCAGGAGGACAGAAGAATGAGAAAAAAAACGGGCAAGAAAGAGAAGCTTTATTTAAGCCAGAGTATCTTAGAATCAAGCCTTCAAGAATCCAGTGAAAGCTGTGGCTCCAGGAAAATGCTCTCATGCTCAGTATTTTGCTCACAGACCTTTTAAAAGGGGCTTCAGGCTGGGTATGGTGGCTCACACCCAGGGGCCCAGCACTTTGGAAGGCTGAGGTGGGAGGATCGCTTGAGGTTAGGAGTTTAAGACCAGACTGGACAAACATAGCCAGACCTCCTCTTTACAATTAAAAACCTAGCTGGGCATGTTGGCGGCTGTAGTCCCAGATACTTGGGAGGCTGAGGCAGGAGGATCACTTGAACCTAGGAATTTGAGGTTACAGCAAGCTATGACTGGCCCACTGTACTCTAGCCTGGGCAACAGAGCAAGATCCTGTCTCTAAAATAATAATAACAATAATAAGGGGGGCTTACAGGAGGCTTACCCATTTACCCCTGAACCCAATTTACAAAACTTCTACTTGGCAGGTTCCTATTGACCTTTGAGACATCTCTTCCAGGAAGCCTTCCTTTATTCCCATCCTGTGTTCCCACTGTCCCAGTGCCCCTCTCTTCCCTGTACTCTTCAGAGAGGTTGTCATTACCTATCCCTTTGTGTCACCTCTGGGAGGGCAGAGGTCAACTTGAGTGTTCACTGTACTCCCCATGCCTGGCACTGAGTGGCCAGCAGCAAGGATTTGCCACATGGGACTGGGAAACAGCTTCTGGTGCTGCAGCGGGGGTGGCCTAGCCTTATTTCATGGGGCAGTGCCAGTTACATTTTGAGTGGGCTTAGAACCTAGCTGCCTCAAATGCAAATGCATTCACTTCCCTCCAGGTGTGGGTTGATGAATAGCTGTGAAGACAAGAGGGTCGCCTGTAAATTATTCTGCTGCTAGAGAGGAGCTGGGGTGGGCTGGAGGGCTGGAGGGGAAGGACATTCAAGGAGGTTGCCTCACGAGACCCCTCTTCTCTTCTCCCCTCCCCTCCTGTCTCTTCATTATCTTCTCTTCTGCGCCTCCCGGCCTGGTCCAGCTGGAGCAGAGTGAAACCAAGTGTGAGGAGGCCTTGAAGACCCAGAAGGTGCTCACGGCGGACCTGGAGAGCATGCACAGTGAGCTGGAGGGCATGACCCGGAGCAAAAGCCTGGTACCTGTCCCTTCCTGCCTCTGTGGGGACCCACGCCAGCGCAGACCTCTGGGAGCTGGTGGGGGCCTACTGTGTGCTCAGCATTATGAGAGGGAGGAGGGTACTTGTTGTAAACCTACTACATGTCACCTTGGAGGTACAAGCATCCAGTGCATGCCTACTGGGTTAACAAGGGACAGGGCACTTATTGTAGACCTACTGGGTGCTTATTCCTCTGCATATACAGGCATTTTACTGTGTAACGAACATTCTAAAGATATAAAGGCATATATGAGGCTCAACTGTGTGCTACTGTCTACAACAGAAAACCTACTGTGGACCTAATGGGAGCTGAGTATTGTGAGGGTGCATCCTATAATAAGCCTATGATTTCCTCACCATCAGGAGCTCGCCACTCGGGTTCTCAGGTGTTTGTAGTGGTCCTCCTGTGCACTCATCACCGTGAGACAGAACTTGGTCCTAATTGTTGGGCGACTGCAAGTTTATTCTAGTAAGAGCAGACAGGGGCGTCTCCCATGGGTCCACTGAGGCTCACTCCTATAAGGAGATAAATCCATTTATTCTAGAACTACTGTGTGCTCATCACTGAATGTGGGGACAAATGGACATACATTATGCACTTATTGTTTTGGTGGGAATTGGGTGTGAGTTTCTAAGTCCTGTGTCTGGGCATATAGGGCTGGCTTATATTTATCCTCAATGTGTAAAATCCTAAATTTTAGGGATAGTTTTATAGGAAAATACTGCCTTAAGATCCCTATTTGCCTTTCTGTCCCTTATTTATTTGCACCAAATTAAGAGGAACTTTCTCAGAAGCGTTCACATAGGCACACATACATGCACATGTGCACTTACATGCGGATGAACAGACACATTCACACACAATCACTAGACACACATACAGAATAATGCCCTCATAGGTAAAAGGGACATCCAAACTTACACATCCATCTAATATGCGTTTACTATTATGTGCCAGACCTGATGCTTAATGCTGGAGGTGTACGTGGTACCTGGGAACAGAATATATATATATACACACACACACACACACATATGTATGTATACATATATACATACACACACACACATATATATCCCATGAACATTTAAAATGTGCATACATAGATTCCCAGGTGACTTACACAGACATAAATCTATTCATACTTGATTGTACCCAAAAGGCCAAGAAGTGATTAGATATATGTACACATTTCCAGCATTCACATTCATATGCACTCCCCGTACACATACACTCACACACACACAACTCCAAGGTGTTATATCCACCCATGCTTTGAACCCATAGCCAGCCATAAACACCCACAGGAAAGCTTCCCTTTGCCCCTTGCCAGGCACTTGGCTGCCCATCTCCACCCTCCAATCTCACTCTGACCATGGGCCTGCCTTCTGCCAGGTGGATGAGCAGCTGTACCGGCTGCAGTTGGAGAAAGCAGACCTCCTGAAGCGCATTGATGAGGACCAGGATGACCTGAACGAGCTGATGCAGAAGCACAAGGACCTCATTGCACAGGTAATGAACTAGCCTTGGTGGATGAAGTTCAAGCACTGGGAACAGAGATTGAGCAGGGGATGTTGCAAAGGTGATGTCATTGGTCTTAGGATCTTGGAGAGATGAATAGCACAGAAAGAGATTGGAATTGTGAATTTCATGTGGCCCTAAGGGAAGAGAATGTCACCTTGAGATGGTGTGTGCATCTCTGGAAGACATCTCCACCAAGAAAGATTTTGATTTATTCATATGTCTGTCTCTCCATCCATCACCCATGTTCATCAATCTACCCATACCCTTATCCATCCTTTTATCCACCCACCTACCCACTCATCCATCTACCTGCCCATCAACTCGTCCATCCATCCATCCATCTATCCTTCCTATTCATTCACTTATCTATCCATTCATTTATTCATCCATGTATTCATTCATCCATCTATCTACTCTATTAATTCACTCATCTATCCATTCACTTATTCATCCATCCATCCATCCATCCATCCATCCATCCATCCATCCATCCATCTTTCCACCCACTTCACCATTTATCCACTCATGCACCTATCCAACCATCCATCCTGCCATCTATCCATCTATCAATCTATCGATCTAGTTACAATTCACTGAGCACTAGCTGTTTGTTAGGCATTGCTGAGAAATGCCACCTGAGCACTCATGGTTTAGTGGGCTGGCCAGACTTTATCACATATTCAGCCAGAACAGAGGGGAGACTTGCAAACTGATCCCAAGAGTCCAGAAGCAAAATGAACACAGTTCATTTTGGAAAAGCCTGGAAGTTCTAGAAAGCCTGAATGAGGTTGAGAGTCAGGGAAGACTTCCCTGAGGAGCTTCCACTTGGATGGAGATCTGAACAAGGAGCAAAAGTCAATTAAAATGGAGTGAGACAGTTGGTATTGGGGAGTGTGTTCCAAGAAGAGGAAACAGCACATGCAAAGGGCCTGTGGTGGTGCATTCGAGAGACTAAAAGGAGACCAGTGAGGGGAACATGGTACGTGATGAGCTCAGCAAGGCTGGGAGAAGAGGATCACTCAGATCAAGGTCTTAGGGGTTAAAGAAAATCACTGGCAAGTTTTTTTAGGGGCAAGAGCAGTTGGAAAGGACCAGGGAACACACTGTCTCAGACTGTCAGCTCCACAATGGAAGGGCTCACTTCTGCCTTGTTCAGTGATATATCCAGAGCCAACAAGAGCAACTGGCCTGAAGTAAGTGCCCAGTAAATAGCTGTTGAATAAATAAAAGCTGCCCCTGTCCCAGAGGATGACAACTCCAACACCACAGTGAAGAGGATTTGAGGGCAGGCTAGATGACTCAGGAGACATTGAAGGCATGATGGCATCATGGGCAAAACAGGGCACTGGGGCAGAGCTGAGGTGTGTGATGAGTAATTCCTGGGATCTACACAACTGGGGAGAACATCCCTTTCCAGAAGTAATGAATATCTTCCTTGCATTGTTTCCCCAGAGGAGATCCAGGGTGAAATGCCTTGCAGGCTCCAAATGCATCAGACAGAGATTTGATCTGATGTAATTTTTGCTAAACAAAGAATAATAACAAAAACAATCAACTATATCATCAGCATTAGAACCACCACCACAAAAATAGCCTATGCCATCTTCTGCACTTGTAAATCACACTTATTTTTGTCCAAAATGGAGTATCTGTTGTTCAATTACAAAACCATTATATGCATGTAAGTCCATTTTAAATCATTTTAATAATAAAGACATTGGAAATAGAAAGTGAGGAGGCTCTCCTACCCAGAATCTCTCTCCAGATCATCTCCACAGTTGGTCGATTCTACTTATTTATAAAGCCTTTACTGTCCGCTGCTCCATTTAACTTCTGAACAGACTCTATGTAGAGGGCTAAGCAGAGACTATCGTCTCATTTTAAAGGTGAAGTGATTGAGGTGCAGAGAAGTCCTTGGCTTACCACAGCCACATCTAGGTCTAGACTCTCAGGTACCCGACATCAGCATAGTTCTCCTCCCTGGTAACCTGGTTCTAGTACCATGGCTAGCCCGTTTCTGTCTGGGCTCTCAAGGGTGTGTGACAAGGTGCTGGACAACTGACCAAAGCCATAGGCTTATATAATGGAGTGACTCAGCAAACACTGAGATGAAAGATGTTGGGGAGGATGTGAGAGGTAACTTTTGGGAAACAGCTATTACCATCGAAGCTCTGAGAGACACAGACATCTGTAGGTTGGGGAAGAAGGGATTTTCAGGGGTGGTTTCCCAGAAAAGCTTGCAGGCTCAGAGTGACTTTTTTTTTTTTGTCTCACCAGTCTTCTGCTGACATTGGGCAGATCCAGGAACTGCAGCTGCAGCTGGAGGAAGCCAAGAAGGAGAAGCACAAGCTTCAGGAGCAAGTATGTGCTCAAAGCCATCATGTTCTGGGGGAGGGAGAGAAGACTTCCCTCTGGAGACATATCGGCTCCTGGATACTGTCATTCATCCATATACCATTCATTTATTCCCATACTTACTAACTCCAGTTGGGTGCCAGGAATTGAGAACAATCCCTGGAGACAGACGGACAGACACTCACTCATTGCCCACTCTTGCCTCTTGTCCATTCTACATCCAGTCATACCCCAGGCAATGCAAACTATTCAGTGTAGAGTTTTCTCCCCCTTCGCCCCAGCAATGGCTTCAAGGAACTGGGGGTGATCTGTGTAAGACAGGATCAAGGTCCTTTGTGAAATCTTCCTGTGAAGTCTTCATTCCTCCAAACATCCCAGGCTTTCCATGGTTATCTGGTGGGTTATTATGATCCATGGAATTCTCAAAGCTCTTCTAGATCTGTTACATGTGCCTGCCTGAAGTGACTCTTAGGGAGACCAGGTCTCAAGCAAATGTCCATGGGCCCTGAGTGAAAACCGCACAACAAAAGCAACAGCAGTGGCCATTTGCTGGGTGCTCATTACATACCAGGCACTCATCTCCTTTAATCCTCACAAGGAAAAGGTAGAGAGTGAGGATCAAGGAAGAAAACTGGCTTGCCCGGGCTCATTCGGCTGGAAACCCACCCCTTGCCTACACTTTTTGATGATGCAAGTGGTTGCCCATGAACTAGCTTTGCTGCCTTTTTGTAGCATGGAAGGAGGGAAGGAGAGCACTGATTAGAAGTCTGGAGATGCAGGAGCAAGGTCCGGTGTGAGGGTCCAGTGCAGGTCCTCAGGTTGAGACCTGAAGGTTCTTGCTTGTGCAGACATCTGCCATGTGGCACCTGAGTAGAGAAGGAGGCTGTGTGAATGAGCACCCTCGACCCCACCCTGCATGCATCTCTGTCCTGGGATTCAGGGCCAACAGGCCGCCAATGGAGCTCTCGGTGTGCCCCCAGCTACAGGTGGCTCAGATGCGCATCGAGTATCTGGAGCAGTCCACTGTGGATCGAGCCATCGTCAGCAGGCAGGAGGCGATCATCTGTGACCTGGAGAACAGGACGGAGTTCCAGAGAGTGCAGATTAAGAGATTTGAGGTACTTAGTGACATGTAAGCACTGCTCAGGCCTAGAGCAGTGGAGCTGTTGTGTGAACTCTGTCCGTCCTCCCAGCACCTGTCTGTCTACTCACAGGCCTTTATCTGGATGTATGTGACTCACCCATCTCCCATCCAAATGCCCTCCCTCCCCTCTATACCATCACGCCAGCCCTCAGTCCACCTGTCCATTTACCTGTCCGTCTCATGCATCCCTGTCTGCATCCATCCATCCCCCTTCCATGTGACATTTTCCCTTCTCCCTTCACTTTCTTCTCCTCCTCTATTTCTTTTTCCTTCAGACCTCCATCCTTCTGCCTTCCTGCCCCTCTTTTATGCATTGATCTGATTCCTCTAATCTTTACCTACCTCTTCAACGATTTATGTGCCCAACACTCATTTTGTTTTTTCTTTTCTTTCTTTTTTTTTCTTTTGAGACAATCTAACTCTTGTCACCTTGGGCAGAGTGTTGTGGTGTCACAGCTCACAGCAACTTCAAATTCAGGCTCAAGTGATCCTCTTGCCTCAGCCTCCTGAGTAGCTGGGATATATAGGCACCCATCACAACACCTGGCTAGTTTTTTCTATTTTTAGTAGAGACAGGGTGTTGCTTGTGCTCAGGCTGGTCTTGAACTCCGGAGCTCAAGCAATTCACCTGCCTTCCCTGAGTGCTAGGATTACAGGCATGAGCCACTGTGCCTGCCCCCAACACTCAGTTTGAACAGAAGTTTGTTTTTCACCTCGTGTGTGCTAAGCCTTGATTTAGGTACATGGAAGGCAGCTATGGCACTCAGATGTGCTTTTCAGGAGCGTAGAGCCTTGTAAGAGATGGGGGTTAAGATTTGTACGTGAGGCTCCCCGCCTGTGGCTCAAGTGGCTAAGGCGCCAGCCACATACACCTAAGGTGGTGGGTTCGAATCCCCAGCCCTGGCCCGCCAAACAACAATAATGGCTGCAACCAAAAAATAGCCGGGCGTTGTGGTGGGCACCTGTGGTCCCAGCTACTTGGGAGGCTGAGGCAGGAGACTCGCTTGAGCCCAGGAGTTGGAGATTGCTGTGAGCAGTGAAGCCATGGCACTCTACCCAGGGGGACAGCTTGAGACTGTCTCAAAAAAAAAAAAAAAGAAAAAAAAAAGATTTGTACGTGAATGTCCATGATTTGGAGAGAAGCCTGTGAGTTTTGGAGGACAGACATCCTGTCAAGGCTGGGAGGCTTCCAGGAGGAGGTAGCATTAATGCTGGACCTTGGATGGGCTGGGGTGGGGTTCAGGGATTGTATTTGCATCACCCTAAAGCTAAGAGAACAGGTTAACCTTCAGCTCTGTAGGTTAATGAAGTGGGACTTCTACAGTAGACAACACTTTTGCCCAAAACCATTTAGATCAGATGCTCCACTTGGTGTTTGATACATCCCAGTGGAAAAGGTAGGATAGAACTCATCTAATGAGTGAGAAGATGACCTCAGAGAGGTCTGGTGGCTTACTCAAGATAAAGGCAAGTAGTGTCAAGGCTAAGGTATATTGGCACCACACCTGACCTTCATTCCATCCTGGCTACAAGTTCCAATTTCTCTGTAGGCAGGATGCTTCACCACAGTGGTGACAAACAGCACACACAGATAATGGGAAGCTGCTTCTACATTCTGAGACATTTTCTCCTAATCTCCCAAGGGCGTTTGGTCTCCGATAAGGCTGCTCTGGATGAAGAACAGAGAGAAATTCTTTGCCTTGACCTTCAGTGGTTCTCAGGATTGCTCAAGGGACCCCTCAAGGCATGATTTCCAGGGAACTTGAGATCTACAATGTTTTAAATCATTAAGTACATAATGTTAGGCTATATCACCTGCCAATTTCTACTTGATTCTAGTGTAGTCAAATGATAGCAGAGAAGAAAAGAAAATTATGGCAGAAAAACTTTAAAATGAAAAATTCTGTCTCCAAGTTTGTTCTTCTCTTCTGCCACTATTATCCAAGTTTAGTAGAATCCTGAGAGGAGTACCTTAAGGACATAGTTTGAGAACTACTCTTCCTCTTTAGACACCCCCCCACCCCACCCCCGCTGCTCCTTGAAATTGTTGCTGAACTTCATTTGAAAGGCAAAGGAGAACTGAATAATAAAGTTTTCCTTTTAAGCTATTATTCAATGTCTGATCTGGAGTCTGTTTTTCCTCTTGTCTGTAACTGCAGAAAAGGGGCTCAGCAAGGACCTGAAATATTCATGTGGGCTCCGTCTTGTGTCAACACTAGAGTATTTGCCCATCAGGATCGATTGGTTCCAGGCTTGTTGGCCAACTGATGAATTCCGTGGATGGGCCCTTGGGTTTGTTTTCTGTAGCACTCCTGATGCCCAGAGCTCTTTTCTCTCTATTGTTTCATTGTGTCCTGGATCCTCCCACTTTTAACTCCCCAGAAAAGGAAAAAAAGCCATAAAGTATTGAGTATTAGGGCTGAGGCTCATGAGAGATTATGGGATCAAAAACTCTCATTTTATAAATTAGGAAACTGAAGCCCGTGTTGGGGAAGGGTTTTTGCTCCCAGCACAGTTATCTGTACACCCCTGCAACACTCCCTTCCCACTGCAAACCTTGAGACGTATAGGGGATAGAGGCTGCTATCAATATTAATAATTCCCAACCCTTATCCAGCACATTCTATACGCCAGGCCCTGAGCTCAGCCTCCAGCATAGCAATGCAGTAGATCTGATAGCATTTTGTGCATGCAGGTACTAACATCATCCCTGTTTTTCAGAGAGGCTCCATAACTGGCCCAAGGTCACACAGCCAGGGAGAGGCAGAGGTGTAATCAGAACTTAGAGCATCACCAATATGCTCCACTGCCTCTCAGAACACCAGTTATCATTTGCCACGTTTTAAAACTAAATTCCTCCTTCTTTTTTGTAGCAGACATTGGGATTCTTATCCCAGTGACTTTATTAAACCGGCAAGAGGTTCAGCAAAGGATTTATCTCCCTGAGGCCTCCGGCTTCATGCCCTTGGCCTCTAATTAAAGGGGTGGTGTGCTCTCTGCCCCTCCCAGGTCCTGGTGATCCGACTTAGGGACAGCCTGATCAAGATGGGCGAGGAGCTGTCACAGGCAGCGGCATCTGAGTCCCAGCAAAGGGAGAACAGCCAGTATTACCAGCGGCGCTTGGAGGAGCTGAAGGCGGATATGGAAGAACTGGCGCAAAGGGAGGAGGAGGCCAGCAGGCGGTGCATGGAGATGGTGAGTCCTGCCCCCATGCGGGCCCTGGTGTGATTGAGGGTCTGGGATGGGGGTAGATAGCCCTCCTTTGTAGGGTTTAGGAAGGCTTTGTAATGAGAGAGAGACTCACGGGCTTGTGTCCTGGGCCTTTGGGGTGTGCAGAAAGCAGGTGGAAACCAGAAACAGGATGGGCTGAGAGACGGCGCTATCATTGGCTGCAAAGCCCTGGGGGTGGAGCCAATGTGAGCCAATGGCACTCAGGCCGCTGAGTGACCGCTGAGCCTGATTAGATCTCAGACACTAGACTTTGGTTTTCTGCTTCCCACGTTCAACTCCAACGCAGAGCAGCCTCATGCAAACAGCTGGGAACAAACGTGTATTAGCTGTCTTTCATTGGGTTTTAGCATCCATAATATCATGTAACCTCACAACCCCGAAAAGTCAGACTTCTCACCTCCATTTTACAGAGGAGGAAACAGCCTTTAAAGAGGGGGGATAACTAGTGTAAAGCCACATCTAGTAAATATAGAGCTATTTCTGGGCTATTAATATCAACCACAAAAAAGTAAAAATGGTAATACCAGCCACTGTGTTTGAAGCGTTTGCTGTGTGCCAGGTTCTGAATGAAACATTTCTCATTTAAATCTTCATATTAGAACTGGGAGGTAGGTGCTGTTCTGATTGTCCATAATACTGATGGGGAAACTGAGGCACGGGGACATCAACCTGCCATACTGAGACTCAGAGTGGTATGGACATTTGCCCAAGGTCACATGAGTAAAAATTCAAACCCAGGGCTTCCCAACAGTGGAGTCTCTGCTTTGAATCACTAATCCATACCTTGCCCCTAGTGCAGTCCAAGAAACAGTTTTAAATTTGTTTTCTGTCTAATGGAAAGGTTTTGTCATCATTCAATGTCTTGTTCTATGAGCAGATTCCTGCAGGAGTCACAGAGCATCTGAGCGTGCCTGCTCTGGCTTCTTCCCATGGGGCCAGACATCCCCAAGGCTCCAGACTTCTGATTCTGTGACCTAGGAGGGCAGCTGGTCCTTTGCCTACCACCACGCAGCCTTCCAGAGAAAGCCCACCACAGGCTAAGGCTTGGCTCAGAGGTCTCTAAATTATAATCGTTTTCTCCTTGCCTCCCTGTCCATTCTGGTGTTGTGACAGGTCTCACCAACTTGTCCTCCCACAGCAAATATATTTCTCAGGCCACTGTCTCCCACAGCCAGTGTCACCCCTGTCAGCTTTGCCCTTGACAAGCCGGCTGCCTGGCTCCTCTGTGTGGGGCAAGGTGAGCCACCACAGAGACACGGAGGTTCCCAGACAGAGTCCAGGCACCCTGACTGGCAGTCGCTCCACCCCTCATGGTGCTGCGAGAGAAATGCACTGTTCTCAGTTGACAGGAGAACTTCCGCGCTAACCAGCCCCGCTTCTGATGCAGCCAGATCCCCTCCTCCACCCCCTCCAGATCTGGCTGGGAGGAGAAAACGTTCCTAGCCTCTCTCTTCTGATGTCTTCTTTAACTGGCCAGACACTCAGGCCTTCCAGTCAGGTCAACTATGACTTTCTCCTTCTCTCCCTTGCTCTCCTTTCTCTAGCTTTGCTCTCCCCTCTCTCTGCTCCTCCCTATTTTCTCACGTTCTTTTCCCACTCTCTATTCCCAGGACCATATTCCTATCATTAAAGGCCCCCCCCAAATACTGAAAAGATTATAGTGTATCCCCCATCTATGAACAAAAATTAAAAATAACACAAAGGTTGCATGTATGCTGACATTAGATGTGCATTTCTGATTGCAAGATTCTAGATAAGTTTATCAAGGCTGAACTTTCTATTTTTTTATTGCAGAGAGTTAATAGGTAGAAGTATTAGTTTTGAACAATTGCTGTAACAAACAACCTCAAACTATGTGGCTTAAAACAAAAGACATGTATCCTCTCATAATTCTGGAGGCCAAAAGTCTAAAACCAAGGTGTTGGCAAGGCCATGCTTCCTCTGAAAGCTCTAGGGGAAAAGAATTTATTGCCTCTTCCAGCTTCCAATGGCTCTGGACATTCCTTGGCTCATGGCTGCATCCATTTCCACAGGGTCTTCTGCTTTGTGAAGGCATGTCTCAAATGTCCCACTATCTATTTCTTATGAGGACAATGAAAATTACATTTGTGACTCACCCTAAATTCAAGTTGATCCCATCTCAAGATCCTTACGTTAATCATATCTACAAAGACCCTTTTTCCAAATAAGACCACATTCACAGATTCAAGGTAGACAAATCTCTCAGGAGGCCTCCTACTATAAAAGGATGACATTGCTCTTCCTTGGCTGGTGTTCTGAAGTCATCCAAAATGCCCTGTTGTTTCCTCTGTGATTCTGTGGGAGAGAAAAGGCTAGTAGCCTCTTCCTAGTAGTCTATGTCCCCAAAACTCACCAACCTATTTGTCTGCAAGTGTATCCCTTGCCTTTGGGCCCTGGGAAATTTCCACTAAAAGAAGAGAGGATGTCATACTTTCTTGTCCCACTCATTTATTCATTTGACACGTATCTACTTAATACCAATCATGGACATGGCACAGGCACAGGTACCGGTAAGAAGGGACGAGGAATCCTTAGGTCCCTATTGTGCTGACACTTAAATGTGGATAAAACAGCCAGTGGAAGAGTTAAGTGTTCACTGTCATTTCAAGTTGGGTCTTGTTTCGGAGGCCCCTCCTATTGGGGTGGTGTCCTGGTACATTTCCAGGCTTCTAACCATAGGTCCTCATCCCACCTGTCCACATCCAAGCCACCAATTTGCATTCCCCCATCTCATTTCTATAGGACCAGGGGCAGATTCTCTGTCATTTTTTCCCCCTAAACTGCAACAAACCCTGCAAGGAAGCCAGAGCTCTGGTTCTTTCATTCATGCAGTATGTATCTGTAATTTTTACTATGGATAAGCCCTATGCCGAGTGCTTGGGACTTGGTTTGGAAGAAGACATGCCCTTGACCTTGCAGAGCTCATGCGTGGAAATATATAGCTGCATGGGAAAATATAGCTAAGGCCATGGCTAGTGTATTTCATACAGGTATGGAGTTTCCTCCTTAATAAGAGCTCAGAGCTTTCTCAGGCAAAATAAGAGATCATGCCCTGTGATGTGAGCTATTCTTAGAAAACCACCAAATCTCTCTCCCATGCCCACTGTTCACCACCACAAATCCATTTCTTAGAGTGGAACATTGCCTTCTTTGTCTTCCATTTTAAAAATTAAAAGCTCTGGGAAAGAGATAGAATGAATTTCCTAACTCCACATTCCAAACATTCATTCATTCATTTATTCATTCCTTCAACAAACGTTTATTGCATTGTTTTATGCTCAGCCTCCTTGTCTGCAAAGATGCTGTCTTCTTTAACACTTAACATCAACCCCAGCAGGTGGAGAATGTGGCGGGCAGGGGTATGAGATTGCCTAGGGCTGCTGGTTCAGGACGGCAGAGCTGAGATCAGCATTCTTGTGCATTCCATACTGAAGCTATCACCTGAACTCCCCACTGCTTTTTCAACCCCTCAAAACCAAAAATTCCTTTTTGCTGTGGGAGACCAAGAAAAGGATCCAGGGCCCAAGTGAGAAGCAAGTAGGATGTTGATGGATCTCCTGTCTGAATTCCTTTCCGCCTGTCCCCAGCCTATAACATTTGTCACTGTTGGTGTTGGTTTAAAGGGTTGCGAGTTGTTGCATGTGAATGATTTATACCCCCAGCTGACTCACCAGCACATCCAGATCAGGATCAATTACCCTGCCGATGGAACTTCTCTTCCAGAGAAAAAGATAAATGAAGTTTTGCCATTAATTTTAGTAAATGTACTATTCCTGGAGACTCCAGAAGCCATTATGGAGAAAAGAATATTCTGGCTCTAAATCATTCAAGTCCCCTTGTCATTGGAGCGATGAGACAGCTTATTCACAGATTTATATTCTGTTGCTTCCCAGTAGCTACAGAGTCCAGGGGAAACCACCTTGGCCCCAGGACAGGGTGTCTGAGGGCGTGTCTAGGAAGGCCGGACATGCTGATGGTGAGAGGTAGGCCTGCCGTCTGCTTGATTAGGAGGCTGCACCTGATGGGTTTCACCCTCCTCATCTCGGCCTGACTCTCTGCTTTCAACTTTCTTCTGAGCAAGTATCCTCTTCCCAAGTTTCCCAGGTCTTGGAAAAGTCGCTTCTGCTTCCTCTTAATGTATCTACCCAGTTACCCGAGCTAGAGGTAGCAATGGCCTGCCTCCCTCTTGGTGTATGTTAGTCTCCTAGAGATGAAAATTATCTAAAACCAGATATATTTTTCTTGAATATTATTATTATTATTTTGCAGTTTTTAGCCGGGGCTGGGTTTGAACCCACCACCTCTGGCATATGGGGCCAGCACCCTACTCCTTTGAGCCACAGGCACCGCCCTTGAATATTATTTTTTTTCAAATTAATATGACGGAACAAATTTTTAAGTCACATTAGTATCACTCCCAAGGTAAAGTGCAAGCTTTAGGAGAGACCTTACCTGGGAAGGGAGGTGCTGAATACCCTCACATTGTGCACATTAAGTGAGATCCCGCCAAATGCCCTCCATCCTCCCACACATTTCCCTCTCCCTTCCCCTCCCGTCTCCCTTCTCACCATTCCCTCTTGCTAGACCGTATTTGTGTTTTTTCATTCTTATGGGTGGGTGTTTATATATTGGCTTTATGATACTATTGAGTACATTGGATACTTTTCTCCCCACATTCTTGAGATACTTTACTAAGAAGAAAAGTGTGTTTCAACTCCATCCAAGTAAACGTAAAAGATGTGAAGTCTCCATCTTTTTTATGGCTGAATAGTATTCATGGTATACATATACCACAGTTTGTTAATCCGTTCATGGGTTGATGGGCATTTGAGTTGATTCCATGACTTGGCAATTAAGAATTGAGCTGCAGTCAGCATTCTGGTGCAGATGTCTTTGTGGTAAAATGATTTTTTTTTCCTTCTGGGTAAATACCTAGTAATGGG